ATTACTTTGTTTCAAGGAAGGGACCCCAGGGGGCCCTCCCTGTCAGACGGTCTCCTTGGGAGCAGGCAATCCCACATCACCTGATCCTATGCCATTCAGGGTTTATACAGAACAATTTAAAGGAAAACTGAGTGTTTGGATGGGTGAATTAATCTATCACCACTATCCCTTCAATCTTTAACCCATTATCTATCTATCTATCTATCTATCTATCTATCTATCTATCTATCTATCTATCTATCTTGCTTTTGTATTACTCTTTGGTCTTTTTTCTCCCTAAGTACATTTAAATGTATAGTTCTACCTGCTTAAATTGCTAAAAGGTAGAGTGCAGTTGTACAGTTCAGTAGCTAACGTAAGTTTCACAGCATGTGTTGATCCAAGGCATTTTTTACATTAATGAACTAACAATGATCACATTTCTTCAGCTATCTTCCAACTGAGTACAAACCACCCAGCTCCGCTCTCATGCCTTGTAGGAGACCTGAATTCACCTACAAGATTAATAATTCTGGGCATCAAGCACTGCTGGTATAGAACTTCAGTGAATAAAGCCTGGCCAAGAGTTTAATTAACAGATGATATGGAAGTTCTTTTAAAAGTCCAAGCCAATTCAGTTCCAAGTTGAATATCCAAGGAAGTGCAGGGGGAAAGATCAAAGCTCATCAAACAGGATCAAAATCTGAGCGACTTCACTGGTGGACCAAAAAAGATACTGTATCTCCAGAAGAACAGGAAATGGCAATGAACAATTACATCAGGGAAAGCGGTGGAAAGGCAGAAGAACATTCATTGCACCAGGCAGAAGAACATTCATTGCACCAGGCAGAAGAACATTGATTGGATCAGCCTTCCTCAACTTGGTTGATGAGTGACCAAGGGGCGGAAACTGCAATTGTGAGACTTCTAGGGATTGTAAAGCCCACTTAACTGGATGACACTAGGTTAAGAAATCTGGATTAAATTGTGTTAGGCACAAGACGTTCAAAGGGAATGGATCTATTCCATTCTAAGAAATTGTTTAATCAAAACTCTGCTCATCCCGATGTTAGTAGATGAGTTCTCTTGCTGGCATCCCATTAAATGCTATTTAATGCCAGACAGGGTATTAAAACCATGCCATCTTTCTTTCCTTACAATTCTGCACAAGCTAGGAAGCAATTTGCCTGCTTATTTATTTATTTAATTCATATGGCCACCCATCTCACAGCAGTGACTTCGGGTGGCGTATACAAAGATTAAAAACCCAACAGTTACAAACCAACTTGGCCAAATAGTGGGGTTTGAGGAGCCAGATAAGCTGGCATCTGTGCCCAAAGCAATGGTTGCCATATGCCTCCTCTGCTGATAAAATCTGCTTTAAACATACCTTTCCAGACAACTGCAAACCCAGCCAAATCCAGAGCATTCATGAGAAATCTTAACTAAAAGATTAGTACTTTTCCTCTCACTTTCACACTGGCAGTAAACTGGTCTTAGTTCAGCTTCTTGGACAGGAGAAGCTTCCATAAAGTCCTGCTTAAAGCACGGCGGCCATCATGGGCCAGTAGCAAATCTGTCATTTGTCTTTCTTTACTCCTAAGACAGACACTTGCTTATTCAGAAAACTGTAACTTACTCATTTGGCAGGTTTGTTACTTTGGGCTGGCCCCAAGGACCCATAAAGAGATACGGAGAGGATTAATTCAAAATAATAAACCTGGTCTCAGTTTGCTACCCTCTGGAAGCTGAGCTAGAGAAGATGAATACTGAATGGAATGTAGATGTTAGGGCTCAGTTTGAGATGCATGGAAGTTGCAGATCCCGGGCACAGTTTTGCCAATGCTTTTTTCCAAGATGGGTGTTCATCTTTAATTTACAGCTCCAGTGTTTCCTGGTACTGTCCCATCCAAGTATTAGCCAGATCTGACCTGGTTACCTTTTTTCAAGCATCACCAGGGTTTCACCTGCTGTGACACAAAGTGTCGCTCAGGTCAAGTTGGATCTCTGGTGACCGTGAAAAAACATCATGCAGTGTTTTTGCAATATGGAAGTGGTTTCCCACTTCCTCCTTCTAGGATTTTTTTTTAAACTTCCCAGTCTGGTCCCCCATCCAAATACTAACCAAGGCTCACCCAATTTAGCTTTTGAGCTTAGCTAAGATTGACTTGCTGCTGCTGCCTAGCTGTACCCAGGGTCCCAAAGGAGTTGGTAAATATGGCCAGCTCTATTAATTCATCTACCCACCATGTCTCTCCTTGAAGGAACACAACATGATAATAAGGAAAGCCCCACACAAACCTCCTAAAGGACTTGGGTAAACAAGCATCTTGACCCCCTTTGCAGGTTTAGGAACGAACAATCATCAGATGCACTGAAGAGAAGGGTTGACAAAAAGTTATTGCCAGAGAAAAAAGACCAGGTGGCACACCCAATGCCATTCTCCCTGCAGGAACCACGAGGACTGGCATTAGCAGCTGAACTTAAGTTCATCATCAGCAATGAGAGATGGGAACTTTTGGAAGCTGGCTAGCAGAGTCAGATCCTTGGTCCAACTATCCCAAGACTTCTGACAGAGTTTCAGTCAAGAGCTTTTCCAGCCTGCTGTGAAGATGCAGCAGAGGGAAGCTGGGATGTTCTGCAGATAAGCAGGTGCTCCAAACTTGAGTGCAGACAATTAGCATAAGTGCATGCCAATCTCTGTTCCAAAGGAACAGGAAAGGAAGGTTGGAGCTGCTGAGGTCCCACCTCCACTCGGAATCATCTGAGACAGCCACTTCCCTCCACCTAATAATATGGCCAGCCAAAAGCACAGGGAGATCCCACTAGATAACTTTCAGAATCAACTAATTTACCCATCTATCCTGCTGCCGGAATCATCAGACAATTCAAAACAGCCAAGATGGCTTTGCCGAGGTAAAAAAAACCCTGTGGTTTTCAAGATGTTATGTAACAATTCCCAGGATCTCTCATCACTAGCTATGGTCAACATCTGTTCAACAGATTGCCTTTGTCTGTTCTACAGCTCGAGACTTTCCATTCCCAAGAACCTCTGGATATTCTCCCCCTCTCATGATACTCACTGCACCTTCCAACAAAGGCCATGGACCATGTCAACATCTGCATTAAGTACCCAAAAAGTATTAAGTAAAATCTCCCCTACATCAAGCTTGACTTCTGGGATCTTAAGGACATATCTATGAAGCTTCCTTGGCAAAAATATAGAAGCTTTATGACAGCACACAGCCTCATCCAAACAGACCTCCAGCCACATAAGGGATAGCAGATGAGAAACTGGCATTCAGAACTGGGTCCTGATTGACTTTCATGTATCAGCCATGCAAACACTGTTGTGGGTTATTATGCAACTACAGGCCCCCAACAGAAGAACTTCAACTCTGAAGCTAAGAGACTTTTTGTCCCGATGTAATTTAGGCAGGAACAGAATGAAGTTCCTCAAATTTATTGGGCTTCGTGTCTGCGGCTGTTCAGGTTTCTTTTCTTATTTTATTACACAAACACACAAAAGCCCCAGATCAAGGGATTGGTGTCAAGTTTCCAGAGACCTGCAGAATCTTAATGCACCACAAACTTCAATGCCTGTCTTTGCTACAATCACACTTTCCAACACATGGCTCCAGGCAAAAATATAGCTTGCCTTGTGCATCATAAAATGTCTAATTTCCTGAAGGGAAAATCTGCATTTCTTACAGGCCAAAGTTTTACTCTCTAGTGTTTCAAATGGCCTTTTGCATGATTTGCATGTCATAAATAAAAGTAATGAGGCCATTATTGATTTTTCCAATTTTTTCCAGGAGGAAATAAATTCATTAGCCCAGAGGCCTTGAATATATCAACAGTACAAACCTCTACCTAATTTATATCAATCTATT